GCTTCTGCCTGAGTCCTGGCCTCTTTTCCCAGGACAGTTGCTCCAGAGGTGGAGCAGATTTGGGGTCCTCTTTGCACCCTGGGATGCCCTCTGGGTCCCTCTGAGCTGGTCTGACCTGGAGTCCACAATGTCCTTTCTTAAGATGGACAGTGGGAGTGAGGGACGGGGTGTGCTCCTCCGAATGTGGGTGGGTTTGCCACCCTTGGCGGCACTTGGAGACTCCTCTGTGGTCTCTGCCTCACCCCAGGCCTGGCCACCCCAAGAAGGCATTGGGCGCTCAGGTGTCTAGTGTCAGGGACCTCACATCCAGCACGTGGCTCCCCTCCCGGAAGCGTGACCTGTCCTCCTGCTTGGAGAAGTATGTGAGATCACTTGAAAGGGAAAGCGTTTGTTGAATTAGGGGACGAGGGAATGAATGAATGATGATCATCCTGACTGCGGCTCTCCTGCCAGGAGTCCAGGTGAGACAGGATCACCCACAGCCCTCTCTCTGTAACTGAGCAGCACATATGCTAAACATGAAAGGCAACCAAGCTCAAGGACTGGTGAACTCGGCTCTCCGGGAGAAGAGGCTTCCTGGAGGTGGCGAGAGTGGCACACACAGCCTTGCATTCCTTCCCTGGGCAGATGCGGACGGACTCCAGCGGCACAGCTGGGATTGGGGCCAGCGAGCACAGGCCACGGACGATGACAAGGGTGACGGCCACATCCTGCATGTCTCTCCTCGTGCAGCATGGTCTGGGCCTGGTACCTGGAACCCGGGTCCCACCATTGAAGACCCACCCACCCCTGCCCCACCCCCAGGGCACGCGGAGGCTAGCCCTCGATGGTGCCTTCTCTCTGTCCCTCACCTGTGCCCAACCCAGTCCCCTCACAGGATCTTCATCCACGAGACCTGCCCCCCAGGCCACTGCAGACCGGGCTTATTTCTGTCCCTGAAGTCTCCCCTGACAGGCACCACCCCTCTGCCCAGACACGGGACATCGCACCCATTTGGAGATGCCAGACGGGTCCGAGACCATCTGACCTGCCTGTTGAAGCTCAGACTCCCTGCAGGGAGCCCCAAAAGCCCACTGCCTGCCCAGGGTGGGCTCTCCACACACGAGGAGAAGTGAAGGTGCTTGAGGGGGCCGGGGCAGGGGGAGATGGGAGTTGTGGTAGGACTCCCCCAGTCGACGCAGCTGACGGCCAAACAATAGGAGAAAATGGACGATAAATCTTATCAGCACCCACAAATGCCGGCTGAGAGAATAAGTGAATGCGTACTCCACAGCCCAGGCAGCATTGCTTTCTCGCTGTCACCAAGGGGGAGCCCGAGGCTGGTCACCCATCCCTGAGGCCTCCTCTTCAGTGCCGGCCACCCTGGAGTCTGCCACCCGGCTGTCCCTGGTGTCCAGCGCGCCACGCAGGTCACATCCCCATCTTGTAACAGGCAGTTGTGATCATATCTGCTGGTGGGAGGAGCGGGCTTCCATGTTTAAAGCTCATCCGCAACCCTGACCTATCTCACCATGTTTTGAACCCTTCCACTGGGAGCACTTGTGTCAGTGTCCAGGCTGTCCTGAAGACGCATGATACCACGAGCTAAACACTTGGGTGGGTTCCGAGGGCTCCGGGGTGTATGGGCTTGACTGTGTGTAGGGCTGGGGAGGTTAACAGATGCCCTGCATGAATCGGGGTCTCTGCCTGGATCCCGGGGGCTCCCAGGATGTGGGAACATACTCCTGGTGCCCTCAGCTCTGCAGACTACCTGACGTGAGGGTCCTCGCGGCGCCCAGTGCAGAGCCAAGACTCCTTCACCTTCCCGTGGAACTGGTGTTAAATAACATAGTCTCTTCCGACCCAGCCTCCACGTGCTTGGCTGGCTCAGTGCTCCGAGGGCCAGGCGCCCAGTCCAGCCCGGCCAAGGGTCCAGGACTCTGGTGCTAGGACAGCTGCATCGCGGTGGTGATGCTGCCATCCCTTCCCCTGAAACCACTGCTGGGGGTTGACCCACCCCCTGGATATCCCATCCTTTGGGCAACGGGTCCCTTCTGGCATCGAGAGGACCAAGAACACCCGTGGGAGTTAGTACGCCTCTCTCCCGAGGTCCTCGTCAGCCACACCTGACGAGAGGTCACACAAGTGAGGTCCACGCTCTACAGGAAGCCACACTCGACAGGAGGCCACACGCTGTACAAGTGAGGTCCACACGCTGTACAAGTGAGACTCCACAAGTGAGGTCCACACTCTACAGGAAGCCACACTCGACAGGAGGCCACACGCTGTACAAGTGAGGTCCACATTCTGTGGGAGGCCACACCTGATGGGAGATCACGCACTCCACATTCGAGGTCCACGTTCTGTGGGAAGCCGCATCTGACAGGAGGTCACAAGCTCCACACCTCGGCAGTGGCCCCTGAGGCTCACCTCGCTCACGCACACTTGCCTGGGTTTTGTAAGAACTCACACTGCCCGCTGCAATTTTCATTTTAACCGTTTATTCCGACCGCCGACACAGCCCGCTTGCAAGTGGCCCACAGAAACGCACTCCGGATTTTCATCTCAAGCCGGAAGCGAAGCTGTTTCTGCCAGTTGGCTGAGCCTCGCCAGCCCGCAGGGAGTTTTTGTGTTGGTTTTGAGTCCTGCGCATTGAAAACGATCTTCGATTCAACGGCCTCAATGGTGGTGTTATTTATATAATCCCTTTATGTTCCCAACCTATTTGTTGCTCTCTTTTGTTGTTTATTGTTGCTTTTGCTTTGAAAGGAACCATTTCAAGCGTTCGACAGTTGAGCTGAATTCGAGAACGGTGTGATTAGCCTGCCAGACTCTGCTCCCTCACTGCCTCCCAGAACCTCTCAAGAAACACGTGGGAATGAAGCGCAGATGAATGGACTTGAGAAATCTCAGGCGACTTCGTGTTTTCAGCCTGCGCGGGGGGGGGAAGCCACGCTCTCCAGCTCACGGGTCACCCCCGGGGAGCAGCAGGGGTAGCCATTGTGATCACACTCACCTGCTTCCCCAGGATGTCGACCATCCACTTCTGGTCACTCCCGGGCACCAGTGAACGTCCCCCAGGAATGGAGGCTCCAGATTCGAGTCTCAGGGTGACACTCGCACTGTCTACGGGGGCTGGCCCTGTAGGCAGCCGGAGCGCCACAGTGTCAGGGAACAATCCTCCTCCTCCTCCCTGGGAGTGTTCATGAGACCGTGGCCAGCAGTTTGGTGGACACTCCGCATGGCACGTGGACAGGCAGGGGTGGGAGACGCCCTTTCCTCTCTGTCTTAGGATATGACCCCAGGCCCCTGCTGAGCTTGGAGGTCTCCAACTTGAGAACGGGGACCGTCACCTTCTTTAGCGGTTGGTGACTGTGTTCACTAGCATGCTTGGGCCAGTGACAGAAAACCCAAAAGGAAATTACATGTGTACGCACAACTGGAAATCTGACTTCGGATATGGCTAGACCAAACACCTCTGAGTCCAAGGCCTCCCAGATGCCACCAGAATGGGCTGCTCTCTGCCCTCATCGGCTTCCATGTGGGGGCCCCTGGCCTCTCATGGTGGCAAAACGTCTGAGGCCAGTGGGAGCAGAGCCTTCCTCTCTCCCATTCCAGGCCAAGGCTCATGGCCCTCATTGGGCCATGTGCCACCCAGTTCACCAGTCACCGAGAGTCTGGGTCTGTACTCATTATGGGGGGTAGATCCCCACAACATCAGGGGCTCTTCCCTGGAGGGGAGGACATCGGTGCCCGGCTGGCAAACACGATAGGCACTCACTGTCATCATGATACTAGAACTTCTGGGTCATGGAGGACAAGAACCAACGGAGTTGCCTTTCGGTTTTGCGTGACTCTTCCCTCCGGCTTCCACCAGAAGCTGCCCTGAGAAATGTCTTCAGGGAAACTTGTGAAGCGTCCTCCTCTGTGGGGCAGAGGGTTTCGCTCCCGATCTCCGAAGAGGGTGCCCCGCCTCCCCCCACAGTGGAGGCCCTGAGCCCGAGAGCGTTCAGGACCTGTCCCCGTGCCTCTCCCAGGGCCTGGGATCACAGGAGGGCCTGGTTACATGACTGTCAGACTCGCAGGGTGACGCTTTGGCTCCAGGGCTGTCAGTTACAACTTCCGGGTTCCCCCGCCCCCTACCCTCCACCTCGCTGCCCAGAAATGCCGGGGCCCTGGACAGCGTGTGTCACAGTGGAGAAAGAGTTTAATGTCGTGAAGCCACTGAGTGGGAGCACAGAAGAGACTTCCCAAAGCCGCCTCCCAGAGAATTCGGAGGCTGGGGTTTTTAAGGGTGATTTGGTGGGTGGGGGAGGGTCAAAGTTGGAGGCATCAGATGACTTTCCTGCCTGGCAGCCTCCGGTGGGGGTCCCAGGTCGCTGGTCCCAGCGGCGTCAGAGTCGAAAGGCATTCGAGACCATCTCCAGCACCGCTGTGGCCGCTGCCATCCCCAGGAGCAACAGGGGAGGTGACACGACTGGCAAGATAGGGGCGGAAAGGGCTCCTGATGACTATCGCTGCTCACACCTTCCATGTTAGACCCTGGCCACCATCAAGGGGCTGGCAGGACCCACAGCCTGTGGTTCTTCAAGAGGGGAATGCGCTCATGAGTCTTGCTAAAAACCCTGGGACTGGGACACACAATAAAGGAAGGGCCAGGAAAAGGGCAGACACGGTGACAGGCACCGCGGAGTTGGAGCTCAGTGAGCATGGCCCCTGGTGCCATCCTGACCCGGCGGCTTCTCATGAACTTTGTGAAGCTGGTTTCAGTTCTGGACACATGAGGGGACAAAGTTGCCGTCCAGGCTCTGGGCAGGTTTTCTGCATGGGACCCCTTTCTGGAAGTGGACTCAGACCCCGACCCGGTGCCCCGGCCTCGGGCTAGGGAGCACATTCAAGACCAGCCCACATCCCTTCCCTCCAGACCAGGGGACCCTTAGCATTTAGGGGCTTTGTAGGGGAACGGGAATGAAAGCCCCACCCCCGTGAGTCTGACACCGTCGGGTCCTCCTTCCCCTTAAATGCTGACTCTTTGTTTTTTCATCCTGGAAAAGGCTCAGGTGGAGGCAAAGCGTGAGCATGAGGGGGCGGTGCAGCTGCTAGAGGTAAGGAGTGCGCCCGCTTCCCCCCAGGGGTGGGGCTGGGGCCAGGGCACTCGGGTCCACGAGAGAGAGCAGGGAACGCTTATTAAGTGTCTACTGCATGCTGGTCACTACATGCTGTTCAAGCATGTCCTCATGTCATCCTCACAAGCAACCCGTGCCATAGGGACCATGATGAGTTCTGTGTCTACAACTGGGGGAATCTGAGACACGGAGAGGTGAGGCGATTTTCCCTTGGTCACACAGCCAGGGTCAGAACTGCGTGTCTCAGATGTGGGTGGAAACCAGGAGCCAGGCCCATCTGCAGGCAGGGGCAGGGGGTGATTTCCCCGAGGAGAACAGGCAGGCGGGCCCTTCCTGAGCACACCCAGCCCTCTGTGAATGCCTGGGTTCTTTTTTAAGGTCTGATGCTCCCCCGGGAGGAAGGAGGCCCCGGGAGTCAGAGTGGCCAGCGCCCTCCAAGGCACGTCCCTGGGCACAGTCCCTGCCAACGCTGTGTGGGTGGCTTTCCTGCACCTCCCAGAGACCTTTCTTATTGGCCCTGATGGGGGGTTGGAAGGGAAACGGCCACCACATCCCGCCGGCGGGGGTGGTGTGTCGAGAGTGACCGACCCTGGCCCTCGGTTCGAGGCCAGTCTCCTGGATCTGAGTGGATAGGCAGGCACTCTCAGGGCCTCTGGAGGCCTCCGTAACACAGAAAGGCTGCGGGGAGCCCCAGCCCTCCACCTGCCAAAGACAACAGTCACGCTACTTGCGACTCCTCGAGCAGGAGTGTGGATTGGCCCGCCTAGCATCCTCCCAGGCATGCCCCAGGAGTAGGGGTCAGTTCTCCACAGGCCGGGTGGGGTTGCCTCCCTTAGGACAACCTGGTCCTGACCCCAGGGCAACAGCAACTGCTGAATGCAGAACACGTGCATACATCTCTTGTATTGCCCTTTTTTTTGAGTTGGAGTCTCACTCTTGTCACCCAGACTAGAGTGCAGTGGCCATTCCCGGCCACCGCAGCCTCGACCTGCTGGGCTCCGGTGATCCTTCCGCCTCAGCCTTCCAAGGAGCTGGAACTACAGGCGTGCGCTACCACGCCCAGCGAGTTTTTGATTTATGATAGAGATGAGGTCTCGCCAATTTGCCCAGGCAGGTCTCGAACCCGCGGGCTCAGGCAATCCACTCACCTCCGCCTCCCAAAGCACGGGATTACAGGCTGAGCCACCGAGTCCGGCTTGCATTGCTTTTTAAAACCATTTCCTCCCAAGGAAGAGGTTTCACTACCATCATATGTATTCAAATGGACTTTTGAAAGCATCCATTCATTAATGGCTGTCTGGAGGGAGGAGTATGGTGGGTGACAAACAGAAGGACATCACTGGGAGTGTGGATGTGCCCTCGGGACAGCTGTGCACCTCCCTGGAAAAGGATCCCAGCCCTGGCCTGCCAACTTTAACTTGTATAGTCTCTGGCTGGAGGAGCCGGTTCTGTCCTCCGATTGCCCTGAGCCTGTTGACGGGGCTGTCTGCGAGTGTCAGTCGCCCTTCAAGGGGCTGTCTGTGATGCCCACTGGGGTCTGGCCCATGCGTGGGTGGTGTGTGCTGGTGGCCGCCGCGCCACGTGCGTGGTCTGGAGAGTGGAGGAGGCGTGTGGGTGCACAGAGGGCCGTGTGTGCTGTCACTGATATCGTCTTTCTGTGACTGTCTTGCCTGGCTCTCACCCAGAACACCCTGGACAGCATGCAGGTATCCCGGAGTGGTGTGTCCCGCCCGCCCGCGGGTGGTGCCTTCCCATGTGTGGACGCAGCCACGAGTCCCTGGGCCTGCTCAGTCTCCTTTTCCCTGGGCTGCAGCCTTAGGGGCCCCGGGGGAGCGGGGTCCCCATCCAGGGGCCAAGGAGCTACCTTCAGAAGCCCCGTGGGGGGCCGCTGTCATCTGAGCGCTGGGATGCAAAGGGAGAGTCTCCGGAGAGCTGAGCAGGCCCAGTTCGTGGCTCCTGGCTTTTTGTCGAGGTTTCGACCATCAGGCTGAGAGTCCTGTGAGTTCAGATGACCCCAGGGAAGAGAAATCAGAGGAATTGTTAGGGCTGATTCTACCCTTGGGCCAGCCACGGGGTCCAGAGAGCCTGGCGGACAGCCCAGAATTTGGTTATGTGGTCATCAGAGTTCAAACCTCTCACCTGAGTCTTACCCCCGAGTGTTACACCTGAGCATCATACCTGTGTCACACCTGTGTCACACTTGAGTGTCACATCTAAGCATTATACCTGTGTCACACTTGAGTGTCACACTGTGTCACACCTGGGTGTCACACCACACCTGTGTCACACCTGAGCGTTACGCCTGAGCATCACACCTAAGCATAACACCCGTGTCACATCTGAGCATCACACTGGAGTGTCATACCTGAGAGTCATACCTGAGTGTCACACCTGAGTATCGCACCTGTGTCACATCTGTGTCATGTCTGAGTGTCACACTTGAGTGTCCCACCTGTATCACACCTGTGTCACATCTGCGTGTCACACCTGTGTCACCTGAGTGTCACATGTGAGTGTCACACCTGAACATCACAGCTGTGTCATGCCTGAGTGTCACACCTAAGTATTACACCATGACACACCTGTCACACATGAGCATCACACCTGAGCATCACACCTGTCACACCTGAGTTTCAAACCTGTGTCACTTGAGTGTCATGGCTGAGTGTCACACCTGAGCATCACACCTGAGTGTCATGCCTGGATATTACACTATGTCACACCAGAGTGTCATGTCTGTGTCACACCTGTCATGCCTGAGTGTCACACCTGAGTGTCACACTGAGCATCATACCTGAGCATGACATCTGTGTCGCACCTGAGCATCACACCCATGCCATACCTTTCTGTTCTGCATCTGCCTTGTGCAGCAGTGAGGTCCTTCCAACAGGCAGGGAGGAGGTCACCTTTTGTTTCTCCTTCTGGCAGACTCCACTCAGGTCAAGGGGAAGGCGGGTTGTCCCTCAGAACAGGGCTCGAAGAGTTTTCCAGAACTCTGAGTTGGATGACAAATCCGTAGAGACAATGGCTTTTCTCACTTCTAGACAAGTGACTCTCCAAGTGGGGTCCCCAATCCAGCAGAGTCAGAGCCTCTGGGAAGGCCCCAGCAGTCCATGCTTTCAGCCCTCCAGGGGTGTCTATGTGTGGATGTTTGAGAAGTTGTTGAGAGAATCAGCAAGGCTGGTCACTGGAAGGAGGACATGCTTTCAGGAGTGGGCTCCTGGGGAAGTCGAAGCTGATCCATGGCTCAGATCTTGAAACCTGAAAGCCCATCCAGCCCCTTTACCTTGGCCACAGGGTTGGCTGAGACACCAAAATCATGTGGTCCTGCAGAGGCTCTAGAACACAGGGAACTGACTTGTCGAGATCCCTGTTCAGGGCGCGCTCAACTGCGGTCACAGTGCTTCTGTGTGCACGGCAGTTGCAGGCAGTGCCCGGAGCAGGGACTAGCATTGAACCACCAGTGTGTGCCGTTCCTTAAATTCGAGCACCATGGAGGAGGTCGAGAGTCCCTCAGTTTCCCTGCTGGTGATAGAAAGTAGGGAATCCCCGTGTGCCTGTCAGAGTCCAGACACGTCCATGCTCGCCGTCACACGCCACCCACAGGAGATTTTAGTCGGCTAAGTGGGACTGAAGTCCAAGTCACTTTTTTTTTGAGTCAGCCTCTGTCCGTTTGAGTCTTGGTCACAGAGGGTGAGAGATCGTAGCATCTGTTTGTGGGGTCCCCTGCACTCACATTTGGCCACCGGGATCTGGAATGGGTTCACTCCCATTGTTTACTTATATATTAGAAATTATTTGTCGAAACTGGGTCTCACTATGTTGCCCAGGCCAGTCTTGAACTCCTGGACTCAAGTGATCCTCCCACCTCAGCTTCCTGACGCGATAGAATCACAGGCATGAGCCACCACAGCCAGCTAATTGTGTAATATTTTGTAGAGATGGGGTTTCACTTTGTTGCCCAGGCTGGAGTGCTGTGATCTGATCATAGCTCACTGTAGCCTCCACCTCCTGGGCTCAAGAGACCCTCCTTTCTCTAGCTCCCAAGTGCCTGGAGGTATAGATGTACCATCAGGCTACTTATTTTATTTTTGTAGAGATTGGGTCTCATTTTGTCATCTGGGCTTGTCTTGAATTCCTGGTCCCAAGTGATCCTCCCACCTCCACCTCCCAAAGTGCGGGGATTATTGGCATATGCCCCCGTGCCTGTCCCACCCCTATTTTCTAGATTATGGAATGGAGTCCCCTGAGGTCACATGACTTCCTCCCTCCAGGTCCTGCAAGGAAGGGTCTGGGTTCAAGACACAGGTTGGTCTGAGGTGGGTCCTGGATGGAAAGACCCAGAGATGGGTGCCAGAGAGACCATGGGGAGTCCAGCCTCAGGGCCCTGGATCATGGGTTTGTGGGCACAGATGTTCACACACCCGTGGGTCCCCGGTGACATGTGCTGTGAGGGTGCCTGTGTGTTCTACTTTGGGATGAATGTGTCCCTGTTACAAAGCTCTTTCCTGCACCCCCCGCCACCACCGCCCCACCCAGGAGCCTCATGTGTATCCACAGAAACCTAGAGGTTTGTCCCGCTGATGCAGGGAGCTTGGGTCCCTTGGGCTTTCCTGGCCCAGGCAAGCGTTTGGCAGCCGTTCCGTGGCTGGGACCCGTTCGCCCTGCAGGGCCGTGGCTGTGCCTTGAGGGCCAAGCCAGTGGAGCTGTGGCCTTGAGGGAGCCGAAGCCACCTTCCTGCGTGCAGACCCCGCTAGTGGGACTGGGCTGTCCCTGGCACGAATCCCTCAGTTGTGTCCACAGCCCGCTGGGTCCCAGCCCCCGGGTTTAGGTCTGCGCCTCGTCTGTAGACACGGCTCACTTGGCCAAGCCCATCCAGCTGTTAAAAGAAGAATACTGCTGATTTGTTTAATGAATGGAAGAAATTAATCATAGGCTTGGGACCTGTTAGGGCTATTTTTAGAAATCTGTGATCTCAGACATGAATAGTGCTGAGAAGCCCAGTGCCTGTGGAGGGGGATGGGGGGGAAGGGGAGGAGAGGAAGGAGGGGGAGAAAGGAAGCTGGGGGTGTCCACGGCGCAGCCCTCGGTCAGGCGGGCCTGGGGCCTCTGGAGTCAGGACAGCCCGTGCTCTCTCACCCTGCAGGCACCAGGCGTCTGGAGAGCCAGGCCCAGCAGCCAACAGCCCTCCTCTCTGGAGCCGACGCTTCCGGGGAGGCAGGGCGGACACAGAAGTGACCATCCCATGAACGGGGTTCCAGCACCCTGGGGGAGGGAGCATGGCCTGCAGACCCAGTGAGCCAGTGCCTCAAGGAACCTGGTTCCCTGCAGCAGGGCTCCTCCAGGCTCCCTGGTGGCGCATTTATTGAGCGCCTGCTGGGTGCCTGTGTGATGCTAAGAGTGGCAGGTATGTCAGTGAGCCAGAGAACAGCTGACAGTGTTGTGGCAGAGACAAGAAACAGGAGACAGGAGGCAGTGAGCAGGTGGAGGGACGCAGGGTGGACCCCGGGTAGACCCTCCTGCGGGCACCTCCTGGGAGGCAGTGGCTGACATGGCCTTGAGTCCTGGGGGAGGAGGAAGCTGCCCCTGTCGGGTGCCAAGAGCGGTGTGTGCCATTCCCTGGGCTCTCAAGACGTGGGGCTGCCGGCAGATGTTGCATCTTTCTACCAAATCCAGCAGCTAGAAATCCCCTCTTATGCTCACAGCTGTGTTCTCTGGGGTCCTGCAGCGCTCGGGACAGGGGCCTCTGTGAGCCACATGCTGGGGAGGGCCAGCCCCTGGGCAGGGCCCTGGGTCCCAGCAGCGCCAGCCAGCAGGCTGACCACACAGGGCCCAGCTGCCCATGTCGCCGAGAACGGCTGTGGCCTGCTGGGAGCGGCATGGGAGCACATCATCTGGCACCTGTGGTTTCACACATGAGTCAACAGCCAGGCTGCATGGGAGGCCGGGCTTACCAGACGCCGCTCCTGGGAGGCGGGAGGCAACCCCCACCGTGCACGCAATACGCAGGCAAGTGCACACGCTCCCAACACAACACGAGTGGTTTTACACACACGCACACACACACACACACACACACACACACACACTCACTCACAAACACACTCATGCACACACATACAACACACAGAAGTACACAGACACACCCGGGCCCATCACATGTCACTGCTGATCCATGTCCCACCTCTGCCATGCAGTCCAAGGTCCGTGAGCTGGAAGAGAAATGCCGGACTCAGAGTGAACAGTTCAGCCTGCTGTCCCGGGACCTGGACAAGTTCCGGCAGCACGCGGGGAAGATTGACCTTCTGGGGAGCAGCGTGGTGGCCCCCCTGGCTGGCTCCCCGGCCCCTGGCAAGCCTCTCCCGCAGCTCGTGAATGGCCTAGCCCCCTCCATCGGCAAAGGTGAGTGCCTCCCCGCCCTTGGCTGGGGGGAAGGGTGGCCTCCCATGTGGCAGTGCAGGGGGCGGCTGACCTGATGGCAGGCTCAGGAGAAGAACAGGGCTGCTCACACGTGTGGGTGTGGGCCATGCTGCGCGTCCTCAGTGCTGCCTGGTACCCACAGATGCCATCGGGGAGGCGATTCTTAGACCTGTTTGACAGACAAGGAGAACCGAGGTGCTGGCGTGGATCCCACAGCTGATAAAGGGCCCAGCTGGGATTTGAACTCAGACCCTGGCTGTGGAGTCTATACTGGCAACAACTGGGGGGAATTTAGGGGCAGCGTCCCCCCACACACTCTGCACAGCTTGCTTCTCTGCATTCCTTGTTTTACCTTCTTCTCGTCTTGGGGACCTGCAGGTGTCCTGGGGATGAGCTTGGAGCGCCAACGGGCGGCACTGACCCCAAGCCTGCCCGTCACAGTCCTGTTAGGAGGCCAACTCCTCCTGTGTATGTGAGATGAGGGGGCTCAGTCTTGGCTACAGGTGAAAGGGCCACAGGCATGGTTCCTCAGACCTCAGTGGCACTGCCACGTCCTTGCCGAAGGTTCCCAGGATGCACACAGTATAAACAGCTCACACCCAGGCCTGTTACCGGGTTAAAAGTTGATTTTTAAAAAATAGAGGAGGTGAATGTGACAGCCTCACTTGGAATCCCGTGAGAGGGGATTTCCAAGCTTCTCCCAGCTCTTATCAGAGCATACGCCTGGTGCTTTGGCACTTTCTATTGTTAAAACAAAGTGATGCTCCTAGTCGTGATGGAAACCGTCTGCCGCTCCCCTCCTCCCACATCCTTCCTTTCGGTCGATGCATCAGGGATGATGCAAGGCGGGGGCAGTGGCCGTGGAAAACAGACAGAGGGGTGAGGACCTAGGTGTTTCCCCACACTGACCAGGTATTTTACACGGCCAGAACATGGGCCGGGTGCCCACCACAAAGACAAGCCCCACACGGAGCCTCCTGTAATGGGCAGGGAAGGACGAGCAGAGAGTGAACAAGTAGACAGTGAAGAGGTAGCCTTTCGTCCAGAGATGGTGACGGGGTGGCCTTCCATTCAGAGATAGTGACAAGGTGGCCTTCCATTCAGAGATTGTGATGAGGTGGGGTCTGTCCAGAGATAGTGATGAGGTGGTCTTCCCTTCAGAGAAGGAGATGAGGTGGCCTTCCATCCAGAGATAGTGACGAGGTGGGGTCCATCCAGAGATGGTGACGAGTTGGCCTTCCGTCCAGAGATGGTGATGAGGTAATCTTCCCTCCAGCGATGGTGACAAGGTAGCCTTCTGTCCAGAGATGGTGACTAGCTGGCCTTCCGTCCAGAGATGGTGATGAGGTAGCCTTCCATCCAGAGACAGTGACAAGGTGGCCTTCTGTCCGCATCCCAGAGGGGAAGGGGCATTTGCGCATGCCATGTGGTTTGCACAGTCTTGGCCCACAGATGCCTTTGTCTGGTAGGGGACGTTTCAGGCCAGTAGGGAACGTTTTAGAAGCTGTGCCCAGACACCAGCCCCAGCTGACCCGGCTGCAGACCCGCCCAGTCAGCCAGGTGAGCCCATTCTGCGGGGCGTGCATGGGAGTAATACCCTCAAAAGTTCTGGTGGGAGCTTACCTGGGAGTGATCTGGAAAGAGATCTGATTAACAGAGATGGAACAGGGACATGACTAGAAACGAGAAGCCGCAGGGCGGAGGTGCCATTCTGCAAATCAACTCCTGGGGAGAGGCGCTGTCCTCGTGAGCCTGGGTCGCTCACTCAACTGTCACCTTACTCAGGTCCCTGTTGGCATGGCTGCCCCCATGGCCCTGTCCTCTGTGCATGGCTTGCGGCTGCCCGGGACCTGCGTCGGCAGAAGGCCACTGTGCTACCCATGACCCACGCCTCTCCTGCAAATGGCAAAGGTTCCTCTTCCGGCTGCTGCTGTGCACCATCTTTCCTTGTTCTTTTTCTCTTCCTCTTCTGGTGTGTTTATTTATTTTTGCATATCTTTTCCCACGTGGAGGGATCGCTGACTGTCAAGAGTGGCGTCTCCTTGAGGTGTCCAGCTTGGTGACTTGGCGCAGGTGTCTGTCACCTGTGGCAAGACCGCCACAGCCTGGCTCATCCACGCCTCATCACGCCCCTATGGGGGCTTTTTCTTTTTGTGGCGAGGACACAGGCTCTATCTCCTTAGCAGACTTGAGGTCTACGAGGCGGTGGCGTCAGCTTTGCCCACCCCTGTCCCTTAGCGCCCAGCACATAGCATCTCGTACCTCGGACCGATGCCTGCCCATATCCCGGTTCCCTTCTGCTGTCTCTGTGAGGCCGACTCTCCAGGTTCCACACAGAAGTGAGGTCACACGGTACCTCCCTCTCTGCGTCTGGCTTATTTCACTGACTATGATATCCCCCAGGCTCACCCATGCTGTTGCAAGTGGCATCTTTCCTTCTCATGGCTGCGTGATTTTCCATTCTGCAGACGAGGGGGACCCCAGAAAGCCAGAGTTTATTCATAAAAAAATTGTGTATTGATTCCTATCTGTTTCAACTTCAGTCTCCTTCTAAGTCCTCTCCGTTGGATGCAAGACTCCCATCGAGGCGCTTTTTCCACAAAACAGTGTCCGGACTCGTCCGTTTTGGCCTTCTAGTGCTCCTGCTGTTTTTGTTTCACATCTTCCACATCGACAAAACATTTCCCTTTGAGGACCTTCCCTTTTTCATCTAGGGAAAAGAAAAAAAGCCACTCGAGGCGAGATCAAGTGAAGAGGGAAGGGTGGGTCACAGGGCTCATGCTGCTTCTGGTCAAAAACGGCTGAAGACTCAGCACGGTGTGAGCGGGTGTGTTGTCATAGTGGAAGAACCGGTCACCTGTTTGTCACAACTCAGGACGTTTCTTCCATAATGCAGCCTCTCACAACAACGCTAGCCGGTCCACTGCCACCAATGGGCTCCTGGACACTTACCTAGTGGCAGAGGCCTGTGCCTCAAGGACCCCACCCTCCAAAAGCCTATTCCAGGTTTCTTGGGTGTTCCCCTAGTATGTCCATGTTCTTTTTTTTTTTTTAATTGGAAGGTGCTTTATAAAATAAAATGGTCTAGAAAATATTTGTCGGTATTATTATAAAAGGGATTCTGATTGATAACACCATAGAAATATCCATCACAGATCTTCCTTGTCCACTGTCCTGAGAGCGAGGGTGGTGGGAACACATGGAGCTAGCCACAAGTTAGTTAGAGCAGAGACTCTGGCACTCACACTGCTGCTCACAGACCTCACACCGAGGGCTCCTGCCCGAGGCTGGGGCTGGTGCAGCTGAGGTGGGCGACAGCATGAGTCCCCGTGGGGACTTGCATGCTATATAAAGAGGCTCCTGTGACCCTTGGTCAGCATGCAAAGCAGACATCACATGTGGACACAGTTTTCCCAGGAAGCTTCCTGGGAAGGCAGCTGTTTGGAGGCATGTGGCTCCAGCCTATCCCTACGCGGTCAGGCTCCTGTCCAGGGCTGGGCTTGTTTCGCTTGTGTGATGGCAGATGAAATCAGTGACCTGGGACGAGCAGCCGTGTTTTGGAGAGCCTGAGCACATGGGAGGGCCATGCTCGTGTCTGGGCGTGTGGGAGCCACCCTCCTGCAGGCATAGCATTTCTTGTCCTGTGTGTGTCTTGTCCTCACCAAGTAGAATGCCACACTGGTTAAACGACTCTTCTCTAGAAAGCCAGGTTTGCGCAAGTCACCTGTGGGCCCAAGGGACTCCGCGTTGGTCCACCTCTGTCAGCTGTGCCACCCACGCCGGTCCCTGGGGCACCAGGCAGACAGGGCCAAATTCTGCTGCTGTAACAAACAGGCCCGCATTCAATAGTCTTTTTTAATTTTATTTTTTCAATTTTATTTTAGAGATGTGAGGTACAATTCAGGGTTAGGTAGACAAGTAGTCTTCATACAGGTGAGGTTTGGGCCTCCCTTTGGTCCCTACTTCACCTGGTTTGGGATTAGGTACCCTTATTGATGAAATGTGCCCTCCCTCCTTCCCCTGGCAGTTTTCCACTCTTGCCAATCCCTTTCTTTTTTTTTTTTTTTGAGTTGGAGTCTCACTCTGTCGCCCAGACTGGACTGGAGTGCAGTGGCCGCTCCCCGCCACAGCAGCCTTGACCCACTGGGCTCCCGCGATCCTTCCGCCTCAGCCTTCCGAGTAGCCGGAATTACAGGCGCACACTACCACGCCTGGCTCATTTTTGATTTATTGTAGAGATGAGGTCTCGCCAAGTTGCCCGAGCGGGTCTCGAACCCGCAGGCTCAGGCAATCCACTCACCTCAGACTCCCAAAGGCACGGGATTACAGGCTGAGCCACCGAGCCCGGCGCCAATCCCTTTCTTATAGCATTATGATCATTGTTCAGGGTCTGCTAATGAATGAGAACATGTGGTACCCAGTTCTTTGTTTCTGTGATAGATCACTGAGTTTTACAGACTCTAATTCCATCTAAGTTGCTGTGAAGTTCATAATTTTGTCTTTATGACTGCATAATATTCCATCGTGTATATGTACATGTTCTTTATCCAGTCCACTTGCAATAGGAGGCGTGGCTGGTTCTGTTTTTGCTATTGGGATAGTGCCGATTCGACAGTCTTGGCTGAACCACGTGTCTGCGTGTCTGTCTCAGGCTGGGGACAGCCCTACACTGCCAGCCCTCTGGAGGGCTGTAGGACAGCGCCTTTTCCCTCTGGAATGTTCCCCTGCCATCTCGTGAGGCAGAAGCGTGGCTGAAATGGGCCAGGTGGTTCCCCCCGCGGCTTCCAGGAGAGACATGGACTTGGCACCTGCCGGATGCCGCCCTGCTGTGGGGCGGGGGAGACACAGACCCTGCCTTCCTGGCCACTGTTCCCATGGGGTCTCGTGCAGGGTTGTCTCCACGCACAGTGGGTAGCTCCGGGAGCACCTTCGCTGGAGCCCAGCTCCGCTATTTCAAGTTCATTTACATCTTTGATTTGGACGCAGCGGTTCAGATTCCCCAGGGAGACAGCCATCAGGTGGGAGCTATAGAGAGGTTGGCGACACAGAGGCCCATCAGTCCATGGGAACACAGAGCCCAGGGGACATAATTGCTTCTAGATTTCCCATCCAGCCCTGGCCGTGACCTGACGGTTCAGGCCAGCCCTGATCAGCATGTTCAGTGCTCCCTCCAGGCAGCCAGGATGGGCTGGCAGCCCCCACGTCCATAAGGAGAAGAGGGAAGACAGCGACCCTTGTCCCTGCAAGTCTTTCTCAAGAGGGTTGTTCAGCTATAGACCTGCCCCTTGGGCCAGTTGGGGCGCTTCTGGTCCTAGGGAATGGCGAAGCCAGCCTAAACTGGTGGGAGCGAGGAGTTTATCTGCCATCTGGAGTAGGGAAAGGGCTAGTCTTTGGCTTCAGGTGGGGCTTGTTCCAGGGGCTCCAATCCTGCCACCAGGACCCAGTTTCTCCCTGTCCATCTAGGGCCCTTTTTCTCCAAGCAGCTCTGTTCTAAGATGACTTGCCAGGCGTCACAGCCGCTCAATTTTAAGCCGAGGAAGGGAAGAGCCTCTGTTAGTGCCTCCCATTAAGTTCCCTCTGCTGGACTGTCCCTTATCACGTGCTGCCAGATGGTCAGTGCAGCCGAGGCGGACTCTGCTGGCTGGCCGGGCGCAGAGCTGGGGCGGGGCCAGACGGCCTGTGTGGACTGAGTGGGGATGGGTGGACGGACCCCAGCGGTGAACCAGAGGCTGAGGCCTGCGCGGGGACGAGCACTGGGAAGGCACGCGGCCAGCGCGCTGTTGTCTCATGCGCATCTTTTCTCAACCTGTCTCAATGTCGTGGCCAGGTCCGGAGAGCGCTGTCGGAGGCTGCTCTGTGGTTGGTGACTATATCCGGCCCCACCCATTCCCCGGGGACACGCCGGGGCCTCTGCCCGCCAAGCCCACCCTTCTGTCCAGATCCGGTAGCCCGAGATGCAGATTTGAGCCAGACGTGAGTCCCGTCCTGGCCGGGCCGCCGGGCCTGCGGCGTCGTTTGTGTCTGGTGTGGACGTTGGCCGACCTTCCGTCTTCCTCCCCCACCTCCTCCTCGTCCTCCTCTCCGTCCCCCCCATCCTTCCCGTCTTCCTCCTCTTCATCCTCTCTCCGTCCTCCTCCTTTCTCCCCCTGGTCTTTATCGACCCCTGTGCCGGGAGCGGGGGACCCCATGAGCAGACATGCTGGGTTTCCGTTCTAGAGGGGGAGGGGCCGACTGTGGACAAGTCGACATTTAGAACACCGAATCCTAGCTGGTATCCTGGAGCTGGCACAGCAGGGCCGTGTGCACAGGAGGAGGCAGACAGGGCCTGTTAGGGCCATGGAGGATGGCCTCAGAAGGGCCGCCGGCCTCTTTTGTCCTGTTGTATTGATGAGAAGCTCCCGGAAGGAGCCGTGTGGCTGGAGCGGGGAGCGGGGGCTGAGGCCATGTGCAGAGGACAGGCTTCGGCTGTCGTCCGAGTCCAGTGGGAAGCAGCTGAAAGGTTTAAGGCAGGGAGTGACACGGTCTCATTTCTGTCTAAAAAGACTCCTTCACCCAGGTGTGGTCATTCATGCCTGTAATGCCAGCAGGTGTTAATGAGAGGCCGAGGTGGGAGGACTGCTTGAGGTTAGGAGGTCGAGACCAGCCTGGGCAACACAGGGAGACTCTAGCCCTACAAAAACTAAAAAAAGAAAAAAGAAAAGAAAACCTATATAGAAAAAAGCCAGGTTTGGTGGCATGCACCTGTAGTCCCAGCTACTCAGGACGCTGAGGCGGGAGGATTGCTTGAGCCCAGGAATTGGAGGCTGCAGTGAATGATTGCGCCACTGCACTCTAGCCTAGGTGACAGAGCGAGATCCTGTCTCTGAAATATAATAGATAAAAGAATAAAAGACCAATCTGGCTTCGATGTGAGGCGTGTCGAGGGACAAGAGTAAGGTCCTGGGGGTCCCACCTGCTATGACTCTGTCCCAGTCCCACCCAGGAGAGGAGACGACACCCCCCCACCTGAGACTGGTAGGAAACACCGTGGTGGAGTCCTCACTCTGCAGATCCAGAGACAGCAGGGGGACCTGGGGGACAGAGCTCCTCACGCTGCCTCTCCCCGCAGCCCTCCAAGGCACCGGGCGCCTCGGCGTAGGAGGCTGGTGCCCTCTGCAGACCGAGTCCAGCAGGGCTGAGCGCCCAGGGCCTGCGGCTGCAGCTTCCCAGGAGGCTGGAGAGGCCCAGGCTTGAATCAGGCTGGGGCGGCAAGGCCCTGTCCTCTGGTCTCCTTGTGGAGTCTCTCTGTGGCCTATGACTGGGGTCTGACTCCCACACAGCTGAAGGGGCGGGTGACCCCAGGGAGGTCCCCATCCGAGGCTGAGCTGCCTGAGGCCAGGGGAGAGTGCCTGGCCTTCCCGTGGCCACAGGCTGCAATGCGGCCCCTCCAGCTCCGGTGACCCGGTCCTGTCCTCCCACAGATGGAGAATGAACGGAATTCTAGCACCCCCAGGCAGAGATACTCGGGGAAGGTGCACCTGTGCGTGGCCCGATACAGGTGAGTGGAGAGGGGACAGGGGGTGGGACTGGGGAGTGAGGGAGGGTTGGGGAGGAGGGGAGGAGGCTGAGGAGGAGGAGCCGGGTCTGGGGAGGAGGGATAAGGCCAGGGAGAGAGGGTAGGACTCGGGAGGGAGAGCGGAGCCTGGTCTGGGGGGCCAGGGCTGGACAGGCTATGGGGGGAAGGGGATGGGAGGTCTGGTCAGGGAGGGGGGGGCTGGGCACTCCTGGAGCTGAGCCAGCCCTCTCGTGGCTCTGAGGGGAGCTGGGCCTTTCGGGGTCATGGAGGGAGAGGATTCAGATGGGCGGAGCTAGGGGACACTGGCTTCCTGGGGTTGCTGTGACAACTGGTCGCACACCAGGCAGCTTCAGCGAGACTCATTTTCTCCCAGTTCTGAAGGCAGGGAGACCGGGATCCCGGTGTTGGTGGAGCTCCCATCCCTTCCAGGTCGGGGCCCAGGCCTTTCCTGGCCGGTGGCCACAGGGCGCCTGTCCCTGCCTCCAGCCCGAGGCTCCTGCATGTCCCCTCGCACCTCCAGTCCTCTTCTGGGAATACTAGTCCCTTGCACAGGGGTCCGCCCTACTCCAGGGTGACTTTAGCCTAAGCCCTCAGTCCAATTTGCCAAGACCCTATTTCCACCCAGGCCACATTCAAAGGAACAGGTTGAGACATGAATATCCCTTTCTGGGGACACAACTTAACCCACACCGGGTGGCAAATGAAAGTCAAAGAGGGTGCCAGGCTCGGTAGCTCAGCCTGTCATCCTGCGCCTTTGGGAGGCTGAGGTGAGTGGATTGCCTGAGCCCACGGGTTCGAGACCCGCCTGGGCAGTGAGACCTCATCTCTACAGTAAATCAAAAAATCAGCCGGGCATGGTAGCGCATGCTAGTAATTCCAGCTACTTGGAAGGCTGAGGCGGAAGGATCGCCGGAGCCCAGCAGGTCAAGGCTGTAGTGGCCGGGAGCGGCCACTGCACTCCAGTCTGGGCGACAGAGTTTTTTTGTCAAAAAAAAAAGAAAGTCAAAGAGGGAGAGCCCCATTGGTGCCGGGCCCTGGGGAGCCTCATGCCCGCCCTTCCCAGGGGTGGCTGGGCCTGGCAGAGCTACCACGTGAGACTCCCACCTCCTATACGCCTGCTGGCTCACCTCCTGCCACTGTGGTGGGCAAGGCTTATCCAAGGGAGGCATCTTGGGGTGCACACACCTGGGGGTGTGCATACCTGGAGGATTTACACAACTGGGGTTAACACACCAGGGAACTAACACACCTGGGAGTTTCCACACCTGGGGGTTTCCATATCTGGAGACTCACACACACCCAGGAACTCACACACCTGGAGATTTGCATGCCTGGGGGTTTACACACCTGGGGACTCACACGCCTAAAGACTTGCACACCTGGGGGTTTACACACCTGGGAACTAACACACCTGGGGACTCACACCTGGGAGTTTACACACTTGGGGACTAACATACCTGGGGACTCATACACTAGGGACTTGCACACCTGGGACTCACACTTTGGGACTTGCATACCTGGGGGTTTGCTTACCTGGGAACTTGCACACCTGGGGTCATACACACCTGGGGACTCATACCTAAAAACTCACACACCTGGGGACTCGCATACCTGGGTTTTTTACACACCTGGGGACTCACACACCTGAAGATTTGCACACCTGGGGAATCACACTCCTGGGGTTTACACACCCGGGGACTCCCACCCATAGGGCCGATCCACAGCCAGTGTGATGCAGCCAGATGCAAGAGTGCCAACCCACTCGCCGGCCGGTCATGTGTCCATCCCCAGCCACAGCCCGCACGTCCCCATGCCCCTGCTTTGTGCTGTCTTGGTGCTGTGTGTATCTGGCTGTGCTGTCTTCTCTGATTGGCAATGTCATTTTCATTTCCTTATTGAAGCCTTTCCTACTTTTTAAAATGATTTAAACTGTTACTTAGAAAATTCCTCATTCATCGGAGTTTGCTTTTTAAATTATGTTGAATTATTTGGATTCTGTCATTTACAATTATTTTATTTGTGAGATTCCAACTTCTGGGTCTGTTTCCTGTTTTTGCTTTCTCAAGTTGGAGGTGACTTTAAAGCGTGTTAATTGCCGTGTGTTGAAGCCTTGAGAATGCGGATGTTCTTATACCCCTAGGCTGCAACGGGAAGGGTCACATGACTACCCTGACCAGAGCGTTTCGGAAGTCCACACCTGAGAGCTTTACGAGCTGCATGTTTCTCACAAAACACATGCACTTCCTGTGATTTATGATTAGGAAGGGATTGTAGAAGCGTGCGACAATACGTGTACAAGGACACCTGACACAACATGGATTCCACCAGCCCACATTCAGAGGAACAGGCAGTGCCTGGCTGGTGGGCTATGGGAAGCTGCCCACTGGAATACTACGTGGTCAGTAAGAAGGATGGGATAGGCCATTCATTCAGGAGGCAGAATGTAGCATGGTCCATGGCAAAGTGTAAAGCAGCAGCGTGCCCGAGGGTGTGTGGTGCGATTTCACCTCTGCTCGATGTTGTGTGTGGACAGATCCGAGGGTTCATGTGCTTGTATTTGCTCATAAACTTGGAGATGGGTGGTTATGGTGGAAGAGCCAGGCGTGAACTCTGTGTCAGGATCCTAAGTACACTGCCTGGTGCAGAGGGTCTGTGTGTGTGCCTTGCTCTCAGAATTCAATTCCCACTTGTGCCGTGCCAGTGAGCAGCCGTGCTGGAACATCCAGCGTGCAGAGAACACGTCACCCCGGCTGTCCCTGGGTCTGTCATTGTTGGTGGCGGGAGAGAGGCATGTGCCCTCCTCATCCTTCTGGGTGAGGCTCAGGCAGCCTCCCTCTGGTCTCTAACAAAGGAACGTTTTCCCTCCAGTTACAACCCCTTCGACGGGCCCAATGAGAACCCGGAGGCAGAGCTGCCACTCACGGCAGGGAAGTACCTCTACGTCTACGGAGACATGGACGAGGATGGCTTCTACGAAGGTCTCTGCGGGACATGGCTATGGTGGGCCCTGACAGGCGCGCGGGGACCCCCAGGTCCTCCCAGCACCCAGCCCTCCCCTCTGACCCTGCCCTCTCCAGAGCCACCAGGCTTTCCCCAGTCAACAAGAAAGTGGGTGGGGTTTCTACATCTTAACTCCATACAGACCCCTGACACTCAGATATGTTATCATGTTGGTCCCTGCGGAGCTTTCCAGGTATCTGCAGGCACACGGGGTGGAGAGGCTTGCTGCTTCCAAAAGCGTCTTTCCCGAGCTGGGCATGAGGGTGCACTCCTGTAGTTCCAGCTGCTCGGGAGGCTGAGGTGGGAGGATGGCCTGAGTCCAGGAGGTCGAGGCTCTATTCATGAGCTACAGTTGCACTACTGCACTCCAGCCTGCGTCACAGAGGGAGACCCCAACTCAAAAAGAAAACAAAACACAGAAAGGTCTCTCCTGCTCTCAGCTTATAGCCCTCACGCCTACTCTTGGGGTCTCCCCAGAGGTTCCCAGGGCAGGGTCTCGCTCCCTTCCAGGCGACCTCACTTGAGAGTGCTCTCAGTGCCTCTCAAGCACAAGCCCCTGACATTGGGGCTCCCATGTTAGCTTAGGGGGCGGGTCTGGCCCCACGTCCCTCCCTCAGGTTCCCCCTCACAGTCTGAAATCAGGAAACGTAAACCCCCTGTCTGGAATGTCTGGTGCCCTGTCACATGTGGATGGACAGTCAGCAGCTCCTTGAATCTACGCGCTGAAAGCTTTGACACACGCCTTGAACAGTCCCACTTCCCTGGGCAAACAGAAGGGCCTGTCTCCCCTGATCAGAGGGAGTACTTCTGGCTAAACCAGCAGGGGTCTCTCCCGTGACCTCCCGGTGTTTCCTTGAGGTTGATGGATGTGCCCAAGCTCTTCCTGGAGGTTTTCTTGCAGTGAGATCAGCTCTGGAGACATCATGGGGGAGGCTGTGAGCCACCTCACTCACGCTGGCTTGCCATCTACAGCAGTAGAGCACTGAGCATTCCAGCAGGAGATCTCACCACAGCCGGTGGCGGGACAGCTTGAATTCCTGACATACACGCACGTGGCCACGCTGACCTGCACATCCGTGTAGAAGTTTGTGCCCAGGAGCTGCCAGAGAACCCTTGCTGGAATCTCTGGAGCTTTCCCACCAGGCATGGTGCCTCCATAAACCGTCCTGAGGCCGACACAGGCAGGGGCAAGACTCAGGGCTCCGGTGTCTGTGTGACAGTGGGAAACGTATTTCCCTCCTCCATGCCTCAGTTTCCCCTGCTGTCGGGTGAAGACAGTAATAGTGTCTACCTCCAAGGGTGTCTGAGGGGATAGCTGAGACAGGAGATGTGAGGCGTTTGGAGTAGGGCTCAGCACATGGTAGTGTTCAGTAAGCGCCAGCTGCCACCCCCCTCACCACCATCGCTGCTCTCACCGTCACCCTCCTCACCGCCGTCGTCCTCACCACCACCACCGTCACCACCCTCGTCACTGCTTGTCGCCGTCACCATCATCACCACCATCGTGACCATGGCCATCGTCACCGTCACCCTCCTCACCGCCGTCATCCTCACCACCACCACCGTCACCACCCTCGTCACTTCTCGTCGCCGTCACCAGCATCTTCATCGCCATCGCTGTCATCAGCACCATCCTCACCGTGGCATCATCCTGGTCGCTACCATCACCATCTTCATCATCACCCCCACCGTCATCATCACTGTAACCATCACCACCATCACCCTCACCGTCAACATCACCACCATCGGGCATCACCGTGATCATCATCACCGCCATCATCACCCTCATGACCCTCATTGCGTCATCACCATCCTCATCCTCACCACCACCACCGTCACCATCCTCTTCATCACCATCACCGTCATCAGCACCACCCTCACCGTGGCCATCCTCCTGGTCGCTATCATCACCATCTTCACTATCATCCCCACCGTCATCATCACTGTAACCATCACCACCATCACCCTCACCGTCAACATCACCACCATCGGGCATCACCGTGATCATCATCACCGCCATCATCACCCTCATGACCCTCATTGCGTCATCACCATCCTCATCCTCACCACCACCACCGTCACCATCCTCTTCATCGCCATCTCCATCATCACCACCATCGCTGCTCTCACCGTCACCCTCCTCACCACCGTCACCCTCACCACCACCACCGTCACCATCGTCTTCATCACCATCACCGTCATCAGCACCATCCTCACCGTGGCCATCCTCCTGGTCGCTATCATCACCATCTTCACCATCATCCCCACCGTCATCATCACTGTAACCAACACCATCATCACCATCACCGTCATCATCACCGCCGTCGGGCATCGCCATGATCATCATCACCGCCATCGTCACCCTCATCACCCTCATCGCGTCGCCACCACCATCATCATCGTCACTGCCATCTCCCCAGGTCACACTGAGGATGCTTTCATCGAGTGCCCTCAGGGCAAAGGACTGGCTCCCTCAAGACTCACACCCTGGTGGGAGGTTCAGGGCAGAATCTGCATTCTTCTCATTTGTCCTGTTAGCATCCAGGACTCGCTGCATGGCTGACATGTCCTTCCCTGGGCCACATCACATATTCCCCTGAGGCAGAGGGGTCTATTGGAAGACACACCCAATGTCCTATGTTTTCTGACCCCGCTAGGTCATGGGGTTTCCAGCCAGTCTTTGTGAGTGTGCCATTCAGCTTGGTGGTCCTTTCTAGCTCTGCACGGGAAGATTCCCCAAGCAGCCTGATCCCTGAAGCGCCTCTAAATGCATCTCGTTTTTTCTGGGCCTCTGCCATGAGCAACCTTCTGAGCCCCACTGATCAAGAATGCACACAGAAGTTAGACTGTTTGCCACACTAGGACCACACACAGCGACAAAAGCTAGTTGGATGACACTTTTTTTTTTGCCCTCAACTGACAGATGGTTCTGACCCTAAATTGACAGCTTTGTTTCCCATCAAATGAACACACCGTGGGTTCACTAAGTGCTCTGCATGGCAGTGGGGCTGCCTTTTAATTCCTACTCTCATGATCACTCAGCCAGACATAATCATAAGAGGTTCATCTCCTCAACCTCCACCGCCACTGACTGGACTGCTGTGCTCAGCCTTCTGACAGATCTCACTGAGCAGCTACCATGTGCCCAGTGTCACCCTAGGGCTAGGCATTCAGTTGTGGTGAGGTCCTGCGGTGGAGCCTTGTCCTAGTCGGGAGGGGTCGTCAGCGCACGTGCACAAACTCACACGATGGTTTCCGCGCGTGAGCCAGGCTGATGGTGGCAGAGATGGCTACCTGAGATGGCAGACGTGGGGGTGGATTCCGTGAGAGCTGAGGAGGCCAGGACAGGCCTGTTGCTCAATGTAGAGTCCTCCCAGAGAGTGGTGGGGGCCCCCTGCGACAGCTGGTGATAACTCTGTCTTTGTGCCCGGCAGGGGAACTCCTGGACGGCCAGCGGGGCCTGGTGCCCTCCAACTTCGTGGACTTTGTGCAGGACAACGAGTCGCGCTTGGCCAGCACGCTGGGGAATGAGCAGGATCAGAACTTCATCAACCATTCCGGCATCGGCTTGGAGGGCGAGAACATTCTGGACCTCCACTCCCCCACGCACATAGACTCAGGCGTGACCGACAACAGTGCGGGGACGCTGGACGTGAACATCGACGACATCGGAGAAGACATCGTGCCTTACCCTAGAAGAATCACCCTCATCAAACAACTCGCCAAAAGTGTCATTGTGGGCTGGGAGCCCCCGGCCGTGCCGCCGGGATGGGGCACCGTGAGCAGCTACAACGTCCTGGTGGACAAGGAGACGCGCGTGAGCCTCACCCTGGGGAGCAGAACTAAGGCCCTCATCGAAAAGCTCAACATGGCCGCCTGCACCTACCGCATCTCGGTGCAGTGCGTCACAAGCAGGGGCAGCTCGGACGAGCTGCAGTGCACCCTGCTGGTGGGCAAGGACGTGGTGGTGGCCCCGTCCCACCTGCGGGTGGACAACATCACACAGATCTCGGCCCAGTTGTCCTGGCTGCCCACCAACAGCAACTACAGCCACGTCATCTTCCTCAACGAGGAGGAGTTTGACATCGTCAAGGCTGCGAGGTACAAGTATCAGTTCTTCAACCTCAGGCCCAACATGGCCTACAAGGTCAAGGTCCTGGCCAAGCCCCACCAGATGCCGTGGCAGCTCCCCCTGGAGCAGAGGGAGAAGAAGGAGGCCTTCGTGGAGTTCTCCACGCTGCCTGCAGGTGAGTTTTTTCTACACGGGTCCCCCGCGCTGCCCTGCACGGGGGAGTCCTGGGAGGCGCAGGCTGACATGGAGCAGGGATGGGTGTGCGCATGAGTGTGGACGGGAGGGCCTGGATACACCGGGCTCCCTGTTGCCCACGGGGTTTCTTTCAGCACTGGTACCAGCAAGCACTATCCTGCGAGACCCAGGAAGAGACAGAGTCCCTCCTGCAGACGGAAGAGTTCCTCTGCTGTGTTGCGCTCACCCGCGACGTGCGCCCTTCGACGGTGTCATGAGCGGGGTGTCCACACTCCTCTCAGAGTTGTTCCTTTCCTCTCATTCTTTTTAACTTTTTGTAAGCCCATGTCAGGGGGTTGTGTGGATGTGAAACTCTGGGCCAGAAGCCAGTGGGACTCCGGGCACCTACGACGTAATCCCCAGCATCCACGCCTGCTTTCTCACGTGCTCCTTGCTCCTCAGGGAGACTGGAGAGGGGTGGATGACAGGCAGCCGCCACCACATCTGCTCATGCTCTGATTGACTAGGCCCTTGTGTTTCGGGGAGCCCAGCACCTCCCCCTCCCGCAAACTCTGTGGGTTCTCCAGCGTTTGTGAAGCCCGTCGTTGTGGACGATCTGACCTGCAAGGCAGCGACGTCCTGGCTGGTGGGACAGGCCTCCTTCGAGGAGGAAGGTGTGTCCCAGTAAGATGTCTGCAGGGTCGTGTGAGGACTGCTGGCTTCCCACCTGCCTGCTGGGATAATTAGGGCCACTTTGCGGGGCCGCCCACTGTGAGGCCTTGTGCCCAGGGCCTGGTGAAGGATGGGGACTACCAGACCGACTTCAAGGGACTTGGGAGGTGGGAGCATGTGCACAGGTGGCCAGGAGAGGTCCCGTGGGTGCCGGCTCTGGGGCAGGGTGGCGAGTGCAGGAGAAGAGCATTGGCAAGAGGCTGGGAGCACGGGCCACCCCAGGGACCAGAAATGGGGTCTCCAGGCGAGAGGGACACTGAAGGGGTTGTCAGGGCACATATATACACACAGATGAAGTGAGGCATTGGTTCACACGGTTCTGGAGATGAGGGTCAAGACCTGCAGTCTGCACTCTGGAGACCACGAGTACCGCGGGTGCCACTTCCTGCTGGCCTGAAGGCCTGAGCACCGGGGTCGCCGAGAGCTGGGAAGGTCAGTGTCCCAGCGCACACAGGCAGGCAGAGAGCACGCGCAGCTTCCACTGCCTTTTTGCTCTATCCAGGCCCTCTCCGGGTTGGATGAGGCCGCCCACCCTGTGAAGGGCAGGTCTGCGAGGCTGAGTCCGCTGATTCAAATGTGAGTCTCTTCCCCACACGCCCTCATGGATGCACCTGGAGGTAACGTTTAAGCCGCTATCTGGGCACTCCGTGGCCCAGTCCCAATAACACGTGAAACCATCACCGCAAATCTGTCTGTCCAACAGAAGCAAGGAGACACCACCAAGGCGGCGTTGCCACCCGCAGCTGCTGCCTCCCTGAGAGGTGGCTCGTGCAGCTCATGTACGATTTTTATTTTGTCTTAGTTTTAATAATTTAAAAATTTGTTGAGTCAGGGTCTCACCCTTCTCCCAGGCAGGAGTATAGTGGCGTGATCACAATGATGACGGCCACCGCAGCCTCCACCTCCTGGGCTCAGGTGATCCTTCCACCTTCCCCAGCCTGCCGAGTGCTGGGACTTACAGGTGCATCTACTGCACCCGACTGATTTTTTTGTAGAGACAAGATTTTGCTGTGTTGCCCAGGCTGGTCTCGAACACCTGGGCTCAAGTAGTCCTCCTGCCTTGGCCTCCTAAAGTGCTGGGATTACAGGTGTGATCCACCGTGCCTGGCCAGTAATTTAAATTTCCACATCAGCCTGTAATCCCGTGCCTTGGGTGGCTGAGGTGAGTGAATTGCCTGAGCCCGCAGGTTCGAGACCCGCCTGGGCAACTTGGTGAGACCTCATCTCTACAATAAATAAAAAAGTTAGCCGGGCATGGTAGAGCACACCTGTAGTTCCAGCTACTTGGAAGGTTGAAGGATTGCTGGAGCCCAGCAGGTCGAGGCTGCGGTGGCCGGGAGCAGCCACTGCACTTCAGTCTGGGCAACAGAGTGAGTCTCCAACTCAAAAATAAAGATAAAAATAAAGAAAGAAATTTCCACAATCCCTGCGCTGCTAGTGCTATCACAGTGGAGAGCGCAGCCCGCGACCAGGAAATGAGGAGGATGAAGCTGGTCATCTGCCTCTGACAGCGTCTCACCGGCCTGAGTGCAGAGAGCACCCTTGGCAGGTCGTAAGAGGGAGGGACACTCTTGGACTGTGTGACTCTGGGGCTGTGGCATGCCAGGACGGGCTGTGTCTGCATGCCCGGAGACTGCATCACCTGTAAACCAGGAATAATCAGGTCTCATGTAGACCTGAAATGTGGGGAGGTGGCTCCTCGAAGTTTGGTTATTTTGCATAGATGTGAGGGAGCTCTCAGCAGAAAGACACTTTGTCCTGACGTGTCAAGCTTGGCGAGGAAGAAACGTCAGAGCAAGCAGGGCCTGGGCTTTGCCTGTGGGATAGCGTGCCAGGACAGGTCATGTCTGCATGCCTAGAGGCTGCGGGATGCCAGCCCACACGCGGCGGCCTTTAAGTCTCTGTGAGTGGGAGGAAGTTTCCTCCACTGCCCAGATCTTGCAGGGACCCATCAGGCCATGAGGTTTCACGGACATCGTGTCCCCGGCACCCTAGCCGTGAGGAGTCCAGGAAGGGCCGTCTTTAGGCATCTGGCCCTGAAGTGCCAGAGGGAACAGCAGTGGGGCGGGAGAGAGGAAGGGAATTGCTACCAACGCTCAGCATCCACCCTGAGAGCCTCTGGCAGTCTCTGATGGGGGCCCGGATGCCCGGCCAGAGGAAACCCACATGCCTGCCTTCTCCAGGGAGGCTGCCGCCCGTGGGGTTGGCCGAGGTCTGCCTGTGGGCTTGTCTGGCTGGGACGACAGCCGGCCGGGTTGCAGGTGACGACCCCATTGGATGTGTGTCATGCAGCCAGTCTCATGCATGTGTACATGTATGTAGAGTAGAACTGGAATCCCACATTCCTATCTCAACTCCCTGGATCCCGATGGCCATGGGCCAGGAGGCAGGTACAGGTCATGAAGGAAGAGCCTGCCTGAGAGGGAGACGGAGAGCGTCTGAGGTGGGAAGCCCGCCATAGGAGCGTTGGAAGAGCAGAGCTCTGGAAGTCCCAGGACCACAGCTACAGCACCTGTGCTGAGCACCCACGGAGATGAAGGCGCCTGTGAGCGGACGGGTTTCTGGGTGTTGTCAGACTCCGGATTCAGCTTGCTCAGGCCAAGCACCATGTTTCCATGAACTGCTTGCTTGCTTAAGCTTCTGCCCTACAGATTTGCGCGACCCGTGTATTTCTTGAGGTTAAATAAAGAGATAAGAACTTTGAAAAAAAATAGGCCCAGCACAGTGGCTCGAGGCTGGAATCCTAGCACTTGAGGAGGCTGAGGTGGGAGGATCCCTTGAGTCCAGAAGTTGGAGGCTACAGTGAGCTATGATTGCACCAGCCTGGACCATGGAACAAGACCCTGGTCTCTAAAAAAAAAGAACTTAAAAAAAATGAATGAGCTGTTCAGAGAGAACTTACCTCTGAGCCAGGTCACAAGGATGTGTTGAAGACCCTTGGCCCAGCGTGTGGTTAGAAGCAGGGCTGTATTTGTCTTCGCAAATGGGCCTCAGGCAGGTCTGGGACAAGTCCTGCTTTCATGACCCCAAGTTTCCTCGTTTGCAAACGACCACGGTGAGCTGACATCCTGCTGGAGGCCCCCCCGGGACCGGGCGTGATCGTGGGTGGCGGATACATGGCACCCCGGAGTCCTCACCATCTGGCCACTGTGCTTCCGTCCAGACGTCCCGGGGGCTTCGGTGGGCCTGGAGCACGCGGGGCTCGAGCCCCCTGCACACTCCGACCAAAGCTTCCTCCCCAAAGAGCAGTCCACACCAAGAGGGCGCCCTAGGGGGTTCCACCCAGACCCGGAGCAAAGGAGTCACCCATGGTTGTTGTGGGGGGGGCTGGTGGTCACCCAGTCACCAGGAGCCGCCTGACCCTGACCCCTGCCTGCTGTTGCCACCCCTCGCCGCTCAAGACGTCCCCTCCTGGGAGGTCCAGGGAGCGCAGCTCAAAGGGGCTCAGGCAAGAAGAGGTGGGTCAGCTCCACCCCTGAGGGGCCCTGAGCAGAGCTGGGCTGGGTCAGGTGACATCACCACACCTGGTCTCTCTCCATCGCTCGGTTGTGCTCAGTTTCACAGGGAGGAAGATGGGTGACATGGGGTCCAGGCTTGGAGGGAGATGGAGGAGAAAGAGAGAGAGAGAGAGAGAGAGAGGAAGAGAGAGGGAAGGAAGAGAGAATGGAAGAAAGAAAGAGACAGGAAGAGGGAGGAGAAAAAAGAGACAGAGAGAGACAGATGGGTGACATGGGGTCCAGGCTTGGAGGGAGATGGAGGAGAAAGAGACAGAGAGAGAGAGAGAGAGAGAGAGGAAGAGAAGGGAAGGAAGAGAGAAGGGAAGAAAGAAAGAGACAGGAAGAGGGAGGAGAAAAAAGAGACAGAGAGAGACAGATGGGTGACATGGGGTCCAGGCTTGGAGGGAGATGGAGGAGAAAGAGAGAGAGAGAGAGAGAGAGAGAGAGAGAGAGAGAGGAAGAGAAGGGAAGGAAGAGAGAAGGGAAGAAAGAAAGAGACAGGAAGAGGGAGGAGAAAAAAGAGACAGAGAGAGACAGATGGGAAGAGAATGAGAGGAGGAGGGAGGGATGGGGCGGCTCATCTCCCAGCGCCGGCCGTCCTCACCCCTCCCGGAGCCAACCCCGCGTTGGAGGGCCACGTCTGAGTCGCCCGGCAGGGCCGGCCCTGTCCGGTCACACAGACCTGGGACGGGTGAGGCAGTGGCTCCACAGTGACCGCGAAGGGTCCCGCATCCTGGAAAAGTGAGTGGCTGCGGAGTGTGAAGGAAAAGGCGGCTGTGCACCCCGGGCACAGAGCGCAGCTGCCACCACCACACCCCCACCCC